GCCACTGTCATTGAGTCTATCCTCAGGTGGTTACTGAAAATTCTTTACTCCTACATGTCGACGTCCTACCTGGCACTCGTACCTGTTGCTGGTGTCAGCCACACTCACACCCGCTGCCAGCTCCAGAGCTGCCAGTTGCACCTGTGGTGGCACTGGCCCTGATCCCTCGGTGCCGTAAGTGGGTGAAAGTGGCAGCTGCCAGCCCCGATCACCTCTCATGGCTCTCCACCTCTACCTGTTCCTGAGGTATGATTGGGGCCAACAGCCACCCCTTGCAACTGCTGCTGGCAACGTTTGGTTGCACCTGTTGTCAGCACCTGACATTGGCCCCAATCCCTTGGCTCTGTCAGTGCATGGGAGCGGTAGCTGCCAGCCCCAATTGCCCCTCAGTGCTTCTCCTCCTCCCCCTGCTCCTGAGGGGTGATCAGGGCAGCAGCAGCTGGTGCCAGCCCCAATAGCTCTGTGCCATCAGCGATGCAAGCGGGGCCAGCGCTGTCAGCACAAGGGAGCAACGGCAGAGGGAGCAAGGCTGCCGGCAGATAGGACCGGGGCCATAATGGGATGGCCTGGGTGGGGGCATGGAGGATGGGCCGAGAACTGCCCCTGTGCCCACCGCAGCCTCACGGCCCACAGTTTCTTTCAAGGCACACAAATTTGTGCACTGTGCCCCTAGTATAATTACACTTACATTGGCTTCCTTTAAGCATTTTCTTTGCACTACATACGTTTTTAGTAGAATTCTGTTCTTATTTTTTTTCATTTTTATTTTTTTTAAATATATTTTATTGATTTTTTTACAGAGAGGAAGAGAGAGAGATAGAGAGCTAGAAACGTCCATGAGAAAAACATCGACCAGCTGCCTCTTGCACAGCCCCCACCGGGGATGTGCCTGCAACCAATGTACATGCCCTTGACCGGAATTGAACCTGGGACCTTTCAGTCTGCAGACCGATGGTCTACCACTGAGCCAAACCGGTTTTGGCGAATTCTGTTCTTATTAATGAAATCTGGTGATTTTGATTATACAATGAATAATTCTTGTCAATTGAGTAAGTAGTGCAAATTCATTTATTAAAGTTCTTCTAAAAGATTTAAGTAGCAAACTATATGGAAGAATTGTAGTACGCTTCTGAAAATGAGTAACAGGATTTCAGTTAACATTATCAGAGATCACTATCTATATATATATATAAAAGGCTAATATGCATAGTGTCCCCTTGGGAGTTTGACTGGGAGACTTGGAGTTCTATGGCTCAATATGATGTGCACTGACCGCCAAGGGGTGGAGCAGATTAAAGGACGGTCCCAGCAGGCTGCTGGGGAAGGAAGGCCCCTGGCTGGCAGCTGAAAGGCCCTGGCCAGTAGCCAGAAGGCCCTGATAGCCAGTCAGGCTTAGGAACCCTACTCATGCATGAATTTCATGCACGGGGTCTCTAATATGAATATAAAGTTGCTCAGTGTGACTTTTATTCATATATGTTATCTTCTTCTATCTGAGACTTGGGTAATGAAGTGTATATTTAACTGTGTTTTGCCAGTTAGAAAGGCTCCATAAACAAGGAGACATTTGTACATGTGCAGATGTTGGCAGGGTTCCCTTTTTTCTGTTGTCAAAGGCCATTTTGTTTTCACAAAGATATGTTTATAATCTGTTTTACAATATGACATGTGAATAATACAACAAAATTATATGGAGGAGTGCTTTGTTTTACTTTTTGCATGTTAAAACTGTATAATATATATTTACTTTTCTTGATTTTATTTTTTATGCCAGCGACTTTATACATGAATACTTCTGGAAAACAGTTAAATCTTTTGTAAACATTTTGTCTAACTAAAGTTTCAAGGTCATGTAAATAATTAAGTTGGGGGGGAAAGTTGAAAATAATGTAGTTAACAAACAGCTTTTACACTTCACATGAGACAGGAGTCAATCTGTCACTTTTCACAGTGCCCTAAAAAAAGAAAATCCTCAGGTATAAGATTAAAAATGTGTTTTCTCTTTATTGCTAAAGAATCAGTAAATATTTTCTCTGAACAGAAATTAAATCAATTTAGCTACTATATTTAAAGATTCAAATTGTCATGTCTAAACTTTTAATTTATATAATTAGTGTTTTATCACAAAAATGAAGATGTTTAAAATAAAGTTATAAATAAAAATAGTTGTGTCCTGATAGAATAAAAAAGAAACACAAATGAAACTAGGTAATTATTTGGATGCAGTTGAGTTTTTTAAATCTTTTTGTTTTAAAGTTGATAAAAAATTTTAATGTAAAACTGTTAAGTTTTGTCAATCTTATAAAAGCTAAGGCAAAAAGTAATATTACTTATTTTCTTAAGTTCAGAAGAAAAGCCTCATCTCCAGCTCTCTTAACATATGTGGATTGTTTAATGTTTATCAATAGAAATAGGCACATTTCTATTTTGCAGTGTTTTCTGTGCAGTACTTGTATAAACATCATTTTCTCAGATATTTTTTTCCAATTTAAGATAGGTGTTAGGCTGAAGGAATGGCTATTAAAACATACCTTAATATAGCTGGTTTGCCTAATGGTTAGAGCATTGGCCTGTAGACTGAAGAGTCCCGAGTTTGAGTCCAGTCAAGGGCATATACCCAGGTTGTAGGCTCGATCCCCAGTAGGGACTGTGTAGGAGGCAGTCAATCAATGATTATCTTCTCATCATTGATAAAAGTTTCTATCTCTCCCTCTCCCTTCCTCTCTGAAATCAATAAAAATATATTTAAAAAATGAACAAATAAAACATACCTCTTCTGGTCATATGATTTTTCAAGAAGTTCTTTAAAATATTACTTCCCATCCTTTTGTTGGTGGGCATTTTAGCACTAGAAAGTACCTCAGATAAAGCCTATTATTTAATTTGAAAATAATTGTTCATGATCATGGAAGGTTTCTGTTTTAGGACATTAGTCCTCCCATTAGTTATAATAAAATCTGCTAGAAAACATTGCTAAGATAGGAGAATAAATAATGTCAAAGTTGGCCTGAAGGTGAACAGGAAATATAGTAGAAGGGAAAGAAGAGTAACTGGGTACTAAAGGGACTTGGAATAGAGAAAGACATTTCCCAGAATCCTCTGAATTCCATCCCCAGAACTTGCACCACTTCTCAGAAACTAACACATTATATTCATAACTACAGGCCCGGTGCACGATAGGGCCAGGAAGACCTTGGGACGGCTTCAGGGCGTGTCTGGCCCATATCACCCAGTCCCCATCAGCTGGTCTGCAGCAGCAAGCTAACCTACCAATAGGAGTGTGTGCCCCCTAGTGGTCAATGCACATCATATCTACCAGTCTATGGTCACTTAGGCTTTTGTGTATATATAGACTATAGTCGCCTGGTGCACAAAATTCAAGCACAGGTACGGTTGTCTAGGCCTGGCCTATCATCAGGGCCATCTTTCCTGGCTGCCCGGCCAGCCTTGCCCCCTGCTGCCACACACACACACACACACACACACACACACACACACACACACCCCGGTTTCCTGTTTGCCATCGGGTGATTGGTGCCAGGGGAAAGGACCGAGAGGTCAGCTGTTCTTGCCCTCTCATCAGCCCAACCCCCACTGTGGTCAACCTCTGTGTGTGGGGCCGGGGGTTTGGCCTGGCGCCCCCTGTATCCCCTGCCTGTGTCCCCTGCCACACATACACACACACACACACACACACACACACACACCCAGTTCCCTGTTTGTCATCAGACGATTGGCGCCTACAGGCCAGGGAAAGGGACCGGGAAGTGTCAGTGCCCCTCATAATGACTGGTCCAGCAGTAGTTCTGGTCCTTCTGCTCTTAAGGTGAATTTGCATATTACCCTTTTATTATATAGGATAGATTATTTGTTTGGTATCTGTCTTCTCTTCTAATCTTTATTTTAGAGACTGTTTTGTTCACTGTTATTGCCAACTGAAGAACAGTGCCTAGTGCTTGGTGTGTGGTAAATAATGCTGACTAATAGACCTGCAGTGCTGTCCATTCAAAAGAAAGGATTGGTTGATTGTCCTTACATACATAAAAAAGATAAAGGAAACATAAAATAACTCTAAATTTGCTAATAAAGAATGTGTCTTGTTTTGTTGTTTGGTCAGTTTGCACTGAGATTTTAATAAGCAATACTTTTTTTAGCTTTATAATGTAAAGCTATTAAATTTTTTTTTTTCAGAACCATAGTAAAGGTATTGTGCCCTGAATCTCACAAAGGATGCCTCAAAAAGTCAAATTATGGAGTCATTTATTAAAGGCCGGTGGCTACGAGGGGCAACATGCTCCAGATCTCACAGCCCCGAAAAGCTCGTCACATCTTTCTTAAATTGGCAGAATATCACAAAAATGTCGATTACATCTTTGGGTTTGGAATGAGGAACCTGGTTTGCACAAAGCAGTTACAGAAGTGAAATTGAGCCAGTTAGTTATCTATAAAGATTAAGTATAGTTTTGGGTCTATGGATCACTGAATCAACAGAAACACATTATTTGGAGCCACTGAGTCAATTTAGAATAATTGTGCTGTCCAGATTCCAGGGCCACTGAGTCAACCGAAACTCATTATCTGTAGTTACTGAGACAATTTAGGGTAATTGAGCTGTCCTGTTCCCAGAAGAATGTGCTTTGATAACCAGTGAGATCACAATCAGTGGGATATTCAAGCCACCCTCAATGGAGTATTCAATTGATTGGGATAGCAGACAGAAGTTCAGAAAATAAAAATAACTTTTCTATTGTTTTTGCAAGCAAATAAGTACAGAAGCCAAATAGCAGGGTTAAAGTTAAAGTTAAAACTGCAATTTTTACCTGAGATGATTGCTACCATACTTCAGTATGAGTTAGAAAAGAAATGACATTCTCTCTGCTGAACTACAATAAGAAAATCCGAGCTCATGTCTAGTATCAATCTCTACTAAGACAATCTAGGGATAGATTTAGGATATCTTCATCAGAATCGCTTATAATATTAAGATAATTCTTTTGTAGAGTTTTCCATCTGATGAAGGTTGGCCATTTGCAAAGTATCTTGGAGCTTGTGGAAGAATGGTGGCTGTAAATTATGTTGGAGAAGAACTGTGGAGCTACTTTAATGCACCATGGGAAAAACGAGTTGACTTGGCTTGGCAATTAATGGAAATAGCAGAGCAGCTTACTAACAATGACTTTGAATTTGCACTCTACCTCCTGGACGTCAGCTTTGACAATTTTGCAGTTGGTCCTAGAGATGGGAAGGTAATCATTGTGGATGCTGAAAATGTTTTGGTTGCTGACAAAAGGTTAATTAGACAAAGTAAGTATATAACTTTCTGATTTATTTTTGTATTTGTTTTTTTCCTGTATCAAAATAATGTTTACATTTATATGAAGGAAGTCTTTCATTTTCTTCTTAGATTACATTGTTTTATTTGACCAGTATCAGTAAACAAATACTGATTTATTATACATGTTCTTAGCCACAGCTTCTTCATATTTAGTAAAATATCCTGTTGGTTCAGTCAGATTCACTCTCAGTGTGCATGTATACATGTCTTTTTCCACACAGACTGCTGTTTCATGAGCATTAGGAGTCTAATGCAAAATTAAGTTTTATATACTAACAGGCTCCCAGAAAGGCTGTGCTGCTCTTGGGAATACCTTACTTTCCCAAGATACTCTACATTCCATTGTTCTATGGGTCCCTACAGTGATTTGTTTTCTTTTCATTAGCACTGTAAATCTTTAGCTTTGGTTTGACATTATTACACCTCACCCAAACTTTACTCTCCATTTCTTGTGAACTCTCCAAAGTGTAGGTGGGCAGAGTGTCTGAAAATTTGTTGTTATTGTATTGTTTTAATTACTTTATTGATTATGGTATCGTATATTTGTCCCCATTACCCCATTCCCATCCCAAACCCCTCCCCACACATGCCCTCACCCCCCTGTTGTCCATGACTACTGGGTAGGTTAATATGCATGCACACAAGTCCTTTGGTTGATCTCTCCCTTATCCCCACTCTCCCCTACCTTCCTTCTGAGGTCCAACAGTTTGATCGATGCTATTCTTGTTCATCAGTCTATGTTGTTCATTATTTCCCCAGATGAGTGAGCTCATGTGATACTATAAGTGTAGAAATACACTTATAAGAACTGCAAATGACACAAGCAAATGTTTTTAAAATTGAATGCCATAGGAATTTTAAAACATTGGGGACAATACCTATAGTTCTATAATTAACCTACTTAGTAAAGAGAAATTGAGGGGTCATTGCTTCATGGTGAGAGTCTTAATATTTTTAATTTCCTCCTCTCCCTTTATATGAGGATCTTCTTATGTACAGAGACCAACATTTGTGGCACCTGGGGAATTCAGTGAATGTATTGTAACAGCAAGTTGACACTCCTACATGATCCTAGCTTGATTCTGTTAAATACTATTTGGTTTCCATGTCTTTTTCTATTCAACACTCAGCAGCCTAGTTCCTGGTTGTATCCTGACTGCCCTGTAGATCCACCCACAGGGGATGGACACCCTGCTGGAGGTTTCATTCCTATTTTCTTCTCCTGCATGTGTGAATACATCAGCAGTTTGCACCATGCTTTTATTTTTTAAAGTACACAAGTCAGTGGTTTTTATTATATTCACAGAGTTGTACAACTGGCCTTAAAGTATTCATTCCAATGTTTGTAAAAAAATTTTTTTTTAATTGATCCTAAAGAGAGGAAGGGGGGGAGGGGAGGGAGGGAGGGAGGGAGGGAGGGAGGGAGAGAGAGAGAGAGAGAGAGAGAGAGAGAGAGAGAGAGAGAGAGAGAGAGAGAAAGAGAGAGAGAGAGGAACATTGATGTGAGAAAGAAACATTGATTGGCTGCCTCCGAAATGTGCCCCAACCAGAAATCAAACCCACCACCTTTCAATGTAAAGGATGACACTACAGCCAACTTAACCGCACTGGCCAGGGCTAAAATTAAAAAAAAAAAAAAAAAAAAAATTCTTGATGTAAGCATTCTTGGTATACATGTTACAATTTTATACCAACTAATTCCTGACTTGGAATGAATACAACCCTACAGCTTCTCTATTCTTACCTTTCATACAAAGAGCATTACTCCTATGCTTTTTTAGGCATACCTACTTCTTTTCAAAAGGCTCTTGTAGGCTGTCGAATAGCCACTTTGCAAATGGCAATATCTATTTACCCTCTTTCTTGAGTTCTTTGTAGTAAATTGCCTGTATTTTTATCCTTCACGGGGAAATGGAGGTTTTGATGTGGCCCTCTTTTACTATCAATAGTACCTTCTAAGCAGTAAAAACAATACATACTCATCCCTTTTCAGACACAGTAAAGAGCTTTCTTTGAGAACCTATCTTAGCATCAGCTATCTTCTTTAACTTTCAACCCTCCTTAAAATCCAGTTTCTCTTACCTTCCCATAAGCAAGTTTGTTGCTTTTCAACAGTTTTAAAAATCTGCCTATCTCTGCTTCCTGAGTCTCCATTCATTCCTCAACCATTAAAACCTCTCTTAGAAATCTGCATTGCCATTAGCGACCACCTAATTGGCCAATTCCTGAAGTCACTGATTAGTAAAAACTTTATGAAATTCTTTATCCTTTGGTTTCCTTCTACTTACATAGTTCCTTTTTAAAAACATAAATCTGATCTTATCATTTCCTTGCTTAATACTTCCCATTGTTCTTCAAGTAAAATTTAAATTCCTCCCCAGGGCATGATCTGTATGACTTGACCTTATTCTGCTTCATTTTTAATATCCCTCTGACCATTGTTGCCCTTGATGCCTTAGCCAGAGTGGCCTTTTGGTTTCTTGAATGAACCTTTCCACTTCTGGGTTCCCCATATGCAGTTTTCTCTGCCTAAAATGCCACATCTCTCTTCTATATGCTGCTAGGTACTTGTCTTTCAAGCTTTAGCTTAAATGTTAACTCTAAGAGAGACTTGACTTGACTGCTATATCTACCAGTAAAGAAGGTTGTTTTTTTCATAAGTCTTTCTACTGCTTTCCTTCATAGCATTTCCTACAATTTATGATAATGTTTATGTACTTGCTTAGTTTCTATTTCACATACGGGATTGTAAGCCAGTGAGGATAGGAGCCATGTATATGATGTTTTTTGGTTTGTTTTTTTTTTACCAGTGTACACCCTGATTGCCATAGAGAAGAGTTCCACATAATTACTCGCTGAATGAATGAGTTTTTTTTTCACTAACATCTCTACCCCTTTAAGTTTTAATGTTCTACCCTCAGTCTTTTCCCCCCCTTTGTTTTCAACATATTTTCAATACAATTAAGCCATTCTCTTTGCTCCATCAAATATTTATGCTGATGCAATCTAAATATATTCAGTTGCATATGTTACATGTTCCCACCTAAATATCTCATAACTACTTTATATTTATTTTATATTATAAAATATTAACACTGTTATGTTAATATGTCTAGGTTTCCATCTAATTAGGACCTTAAACTTTACTCATACACTTAACTGTTAATTTTTGTCTCAAATGTTTCTACAACCTGGCTTTTTTTTTTTTTTCTTCTTCTTGTTTTTTTTCTTTCTTTTTTTCTTTTCTTTCTGGACCTCCTTTAGTTGCTGTCATCATGTTACTACCTCCAGTCTTCAGCCTAGAGATATCTTTCTGTAAAACAAATCATGGTCTTGACCACACAATGTAGAACTTACTTCTCTAGCCTCTGCTATACCTCCTTCCCAGGTACCCGTCTCACTCTCAGGTGAGAACAATTTTCTGAACTAGCTGGATCAGTCCCTTAGGTCCATGCCTTCCCACATGCTGTACCCTGGGCCTAGAATTCTCTTTTTTTTTTTAAGGCTTGCTTATATTTTAAGGCCTAAATCAGATGTTCTCTCTGTAGCCTTCTACAACCCCAGATAGAAGTAGTGCTTCCTCTGTATTCCTGTGCCATACTACTGTATGCCACTTTATATGATAGAAGTTTTCCCTCTAGACTGAACTCTTCAGTAGTAGGTGCCTTGTTTGATCTTCTGATTGGCACGGATGTGCTCCCAATAAATCTTTATGTAAATTAATATATTTAAATGTTTAAAATGATAATATAATTTTAAGAACAAATACTATGTTAATTAGGGTATTGTCAAATTTGGGGAATCAATAAAAACTCTTAAAAAAATGTATTTTCCTCTTTCTGCTTTTCCTCCTTTTACAGATAAACCTGAAAATTGGGATGTATGGTATGAAAGTAAATTTGATGATTGTGATAAGGAAGCTTGTTTATCATTCTCAAAAGAAATTCTTTGTGCTCGTGCCACTGTGGACCACAATTATTATGCTGTTTGTCAGAACCTCTTATCCAGACATGCCACCTGGCGTGGCACATCTGGAGGACTCCTTCACGATCCACCAAGTGAAATTGCCAAAGAAGGCCGGCTAGAGGCCTTGCTGGATGAGTGCGCCAACCCAAAGAAACGCTACGGCAGATTCCAGGCTGCAAAAGAACTGCGTGAATATCTAGCACAATTGAGTGACAATGTGAGGTAGTCTATGGTGAACTTTTTTTTTTTTCCCCTCCATTTAAATAGCACTGGCTAATGCTAAACCACCAAAAACTATCTAGAAAAAAGAAAACTTGGAAGTAATACTTTCAAAGGATGACAAACGTGCACTGATACATTTCATGTTAACATTCATCAAAATAAGACATTACTTCAAAAAACATATGATTCTTTTGCAGGTTTTTTTGTTCTTACACTTTGGAAAATTGAGCTGTCCTTGACTGCTTTGCCCCCTTGAATGCCTGAGTGCATTAATGAATATTGTTAAGCTATTAGAAATGAATCTGATAGTTACATTGGTTTGTGTATCAAAGGGTACTTGGTATACTTGACTTAGTTTGCATTAGTATCATGATTTTGTGAATCTCTTACATTTACGTTGAATGTCACATTAGATTGGCCTGTTTTATAGGCTACTTTTTCCTTCCTAATTTTTTTCCTATTTTTATGTTTTTCCTTCAGTCTTACACATGCAGGTAACTGTAGATATTCATTTAAATTTGAACTACTTTTAATTCAGTGCTATGCAGTACATGTTAACTGTTAGGGGAGGATTTCTAGGTTTACTGTGTTTTTTCAGGAAGCTGAATATTTTATTATGTAAATACTTTTCTTCCCACTTTCTGTGTTTTCATCATTGCATGAGCTCATTTAAGGTTATTTAACAGTTATCACTCTGTGTCAGTAATTAGAAGTGTACACTAAACATGAAGTTGGCAAATGTTGCTAAATGTCATTTTGTCCTTTAAAAAGCTTTAAGAAGAGTGTGTTAGTAGTTTTCACCTTGATGTTAATTTTGACAGGAAAATATAACCCCAATATTTTTTAAATGCTAACTAGTCTAAGATAGTAATGCATATGCCAAAGAATTATTAGATCTATTCCTATGGTTTGAATTTAAAATTGGTCCTATTTATAATATGTTCTTAGTCATTATTAAATTTAAATATCTATGGTTATTTTTTATCTTGAAAATTTAAGCTACTGCTTCCCAGCATAGGCTACTTAAAGGTATTCTAACTTTTATTCATCGGTAGTTTTGCAAAAATTAACATGGTGTGACCATTTGAGTCTAATCAGGCCTCATGACTTTTATTAATGGATGGACTAATAATACTGTATCCAGTCTGCCCAACATGGTCTTCATTACTCAATTATTAAACATAAAAAATTAAGTAAGTGGATAAAAATTAACAAATATGTGAAATTTTTGGGCTCTCTTAAAAAGTTATAATTGATATATAATGACTATCATTAACTGATATATTTTTTTTGTTTGAAATCATTACTTTGTGTATGGCAAAGTTTGGTGTAGGGTGCAGTATTTAATTTTAGTTCTAGTTCTAACTGACATTATTTATTAATTAGAAAGTGATTAAAATATGCACAACCAAAGCCAGGTTTTTCTTCTGTTTTTCATGCATTTAGCAACTATTTATTGAGCCTCAGCTCTGTGCCAGGCATATTACTAGCTTCCACACATTGTCTGAATATGACATGGTTAAGTAACTTTATAATGATGATCAAATATTTTTATGTAGGTATTTCTTAAACTAGGATGCTACTGCTTTCATGTTATTTTATTATTGTGATGGAAAGTCTACTTGTACCATCTATAACTGGGTTGCTATAAAAGAGCAGGATGTTCTTAATAAAGGTAATTCTAGTTTAATACTGGAAGAAGGGTAAGATTTCTTCATTGTAAAATAGGTTGCAATGTATTAACTTTTACACATCAGTACATTACATATATCGACTAGCCTTCAAACATTCAGTGCTAGAAATTTTACTATGCTGACGTTTTACAACTTAGGAAAACTTTTGAGGGGAATAGGTAAAATTACTTGTCAGACATTCAAGCCTTTCACTCAAAACTTCAAACAAAATAATACATTTTCAAAACGGAGCACCTTTTATATTTGATAAGTCTTCATTACCAATCTTAGAATGCCAGTCACAGAAAGGTTGTCTTTCTGTGGCTTAGCAAACATTTATCTTACTTTTGGGAAGTGATTGTGATTGCAGAATAGGAAGTGAGAAACAGCTGCCAGCAATCATAGTTGCATAAGGGAGTTTTGTAAAACTGTAATTTCTTGTAAAGTTACGTGGAATTTTCTTCAGAAAGTTGAGAAGATGGTAAAAGAGGAATTTAACAGGGAAAATTATGTATGTGAAAAGCAATAAATTTTTGTTCACTTTGCTATCAAGATATTCACTATCAGATATTTATTATATAGCAGCAATTTATATTTTTAATCATTGCCCATTAATAGATGCAGTAAAATATTTTTGAATCAGACATTTGGGGTTTTTATGTGCATTAAAGTTGTCTTTTGTACTGTTTAATTTGAATAATTTACCAGAATTGTCTCCCCGTGCCTTTACAATGTAAAGTTGTTTTTGCAACTTTAATGCTCTTAATAAAGAATACTTTAAGAATCACTCTTGTCAAATAATCTCTTAACATCAAATACCCAAATTTTTCTTGAGTGGAAAGTGAGGTTGAATAGATGTTATTTTTTCCCTTACATGTATTTTTATATAATTTCCAGAAACTATCTGTGTGCATGTAGTTTTTCTGTAATCATGACATTTTTAACTTTTATCACTATAAATGGTATTAGACTATATCATAGAATTTTTCAAATTTATACAAAAGAATAATATAAGTAACAATAGTGTAACTTTGTTCATAAGTCTTTGTTAATACTAACTCCAAAACATGTAGCCAAACTTGTTTCTATACCTCAACTTACTAGCCTCTAGCTTAGTTTAAGAAAATCTGAGATACTTGAATTGAGTGTTTTATACATTAGGCAGTCTCTCCAACAAAACCACAATATATTTCACATCTAAATAATTAACAGTAATACCTCAATATCACTAAAACAGAAAACCTCAAATATCACTGGTGGTGTCTAAAAAGCAACTGCAAGTATTTGATGATGAATAAGCATGATAACAAAAAATGGATTGTAACAGTTTAAATATTTAATTATGCGTTCAAAATGATAATAGCAATAAGAAATTAACAAATTTAATCATCTGGAAGGATATTGAGGAATTACTCTGAAAACTGGTATCTGGGACAGAAAGAAGCATTTAGCCAAAACCGGTTTGGCTCAGTGGTAGAGCATCGGTCTGCAGACTGAAAGGTCCCAGGTTCGATTCCAGTCAAGGGCATGTACATTGGTTGTGGACACATCCCCAGTAGGGGGTGTGCAAGAGGCAGCTGGTCGATGTTTCTCTCTCATCGATGTTTCTAGCTCTCTATCCCTCTCTCCTCCTCTCTGTAAAAAATCAATAAAATATATCTTTAAAAAAAAAAAAAAAGAAAAGCATTTATATACCTTACCCCAAGTAATGAGATAATTGAAGGGGAAAACAAATCTGTGGGATATGTAGAATTTTTCCGGTTAGTAAATGCAGAAGGAGTGTTGTTAAAATGTTTCTCATTTGCAATTCTTAATTGACAAGAGCTAGGCAATGATTATCAATAGATACAAACATTATTAATTAAAAATGATCAGGAGGTCAAGACCTGAATTTATTAGTCAATTTTGATGTGCTTTCCAGTACAACCCAGTGAAAAGAAGCACCCAGCACCACCTATGAGGTTTCTTCCCAGAAAAACAACAAAACTGCATCTATTCAATCCCTCAGATCTGTCTGATAATGAGAAATACCCAGCATAGAGAAACATGATAGAGGCCTCCATGGGATGCAGTCCAGAGAGTCCAGAATGGGCAATTTTACAGGGTAAATAACTTTATTTTGTTTAGCAAATTGCAAGGAAAAAGGGGAGGGAGGTTTTGCATTAAAGGAGACTTGCATAGCCCATAAAGTAAATGCAAAGGTTACTTTTCTAGCCTAATTAGAACAAGTTAGCTTTAAAATAAAGTGGAAACAATTTGAACCATAAGGTGAATGTCTTGGGTAACCTTATCTATTTTAATTTTGCACTTGCTTTAGTATGTGGAAAAAACTTAAAAGAACCTATTGTATACTGTATAATGTTATAGCTATAGTTTATTACACTAGTTAGCTATGTGCCTAATTTTGTAATAGTACTTTTAATTTTTTTTTTTTGAAAAGTATTTGCCCAGGATCACAAAAATAAGTAGTAGCAGACCTAGGGCTCAACATGGATTTTCCAGTTGCCTACAATATTCTACTAGACTAGGATGCAGAGTTTAAGAACCAGAAGCAAATATTTGAAGGTAAGATCATATAATTGTAAAAACTCACATGCATTTCCTCAATTACTAAGGGGAGTAAAGGATTTGTGAGGGCAAGAAAACGAAGAGAAATCTCAAGTGAGATAGAGACAATGTGAAAAAGAAGTAAAGTTTAAGAGGGACATGGGGAGAAAAGGGTAGAAAATGAGAACAATAATGGAAAATAAAGGGTGGTAAGAACTTTTCCCCTTTGACCTCAAAACTTTAAATCTCTGATTATTATTCTCATTATGAGTTTACTAATATATTCTGTTTCTAGGGAACTACCTCAGCCTTTAAGATTGTTAAATTATACTATAAATATTGTTGAATCTATGGGCAGTGCCTTATACTCTATGTTTTAAGCATACATACTTGTAAGAAAGTTTACCTTGATAGATGACAGACTTTAAAAATAAGCTCATGGCATTCAGTCAAGTTTAGGATTTTATCAATTTTAGCTTTCCTTTTCTATGTATAATATATCACAGATATTTAGATGATTCAAATATTGAAAGAAGTCACTAGGCTGTGAGATGAAGATATGATTCACAGCTCTAGTCAGTTTGGCTCAACAGATAGAACCCAGGACCCTTTGGTCGATTCCAGTCAAGGTCACGTACCTTGTTTGCCAGCTCCTCACTGGCCTGGACCCTGCTCAGGGCTTCGGCAGGAGGCAACCAATCGATGTATTTCTCTCACATTAATGTTTCTCTCTCTGTCTTTCCCTCTCTTTCCCTAAAAATTAATGGGAAAATGTCCACAGCTGAGGGTTAAAAGAGATGACTCACAGAAGTGATGCTCTCTTCTTCTCACTGTCTCACAAAACAATAGAGATTTTTAAAGAAAATTAGTTGATGAGTCTTGGGAAAATTAATACCTTTCAGCCTAATTTAGACTAGAGTCAAATGCAGGAATCAAGAAGATGGAGAATAGCCCAACTGGCATAGCTAAGTGATTGAATGTCGACCCATGAACCCTGAGGTCATTGTTCAATTCCCAGTCAGGGCACATGCCCAGATTGTGGGTTCAATCCCCAATGAGGGGCATGCAAGAGGTAGCTGATCAGTGATTCTCTCTCATCATTGATGTTTCTATCACTTCCTCTCTGAAGTCAATAAAATGCACACACAAGTACACACACACACACACACATATATATATATATACACTTGCCATATTATTATCTCTGAAAACAATATATATATATATATAAATTTTTAGAGGCCCAGTGCATGAATTCGTGCATGAGTGGGGTCTAGCCAGCCTGGCCAGGGGGAGGGGACAAGGGCGGTTGTCCAGTCTGCCTGCTGGTCGAACTCCTGGTGGAGGGGACAATTTGCATAGTAACCTTTTATTATAAAAGATATACACTGAGTGGCCAGATTATTCATTCAGAGATCATAATAATTTGGCCACTCAGTGTATATATCCTATATAATATATCCTAAGCGACCATCCTACCATTTAACCAGCCAGCCAGTAGCTTTGATGCGCATTGACCACCAAGAGCACCAAGGGGCAGATGCTCAATGCAGGAGCTGCTGAGCTGTGGTGACTTGGCAGCTGCGGTTCTTGGGTCCTACACCTGGAACCAGAGAGAAGGAAGCCTGATTCTGGGGTGTGTCACCTCTGAACCACCCTCTCATAATCTGGGACCTCAGTGGATGTCAGAGAATTGGTTTTGGCTGGTCCCTGCAGGCCAGGCCAGGGTACCCCACTGGTGCACGAATCCATGCACCCGGTCTCTGGCCCATATGCTTCCACTTTGGGTTTGGCTACCCACTGGGTCTCTAGCCCATTGCAGAGGTTGTGGGTCTGGCCCTTACAGAAACTTTTCAACTCGATTAGCTAAATGATGAGACGTGATGGCTGCTGTGTTGGCTGCGGCCCTGACATCTGGCACTTAAGCTGGCCCATCTACTTAATATTGATTTCCACTTGGCTGGAAAACTGGCCGCAGCTTCCCTTCTTCCAGGCAGACAGTAATACCATCGTGCAACCTCTAGGGAGGGAAGGAGGCAAAGGAGCAGCTCAGGTGGGAAGAAGGATATTCCCACCATCATAGGACTCTGCCTGAACTGAAGGGCCTGGGAGGGAGCCTGACATTGAGCAGGGTCCTGACATAGGCTGACTAGATTCCAGGATAAGTAAATCCTGCTTGCTAAATAATTGCATTTTTCAGCTTAATTCCCACAAGTCATCAGTTACTGCCAAACTTTGGGTAAAGTGATATGAAAGAAGTGAGACATATATGAGAGAAAGTGACATAGTACTGGGAGAAGAGAGGAGGGAGCCCAGTTCTGGGGTGTCACCCGAGAAGTGCCCTCTCTCAATCCAGGAGCCCTCAGGGGATGTTGGAGAATGGTTTCAGCAGTATCGCTGCAGGCCAGGCTGAGGGACCCCAATGGTGCACAAATCTGTGCACCGGGGCTCTAGTGTATGTGGTTGTGTGGGTGTGGGGTGTGGGTGTGTATATATATATTAGTGGTCTGGTGCATGAAATTTGTGCATGGGGAGGGTGTTTTCCCTAAGCCTGGCCTGCACCCTCTCCAATCTGGGACCCCTTGAAGGATGTCATACTGCCAATTTACAGGGATCAGGCCTAAGTCAACAATCAGACATCCCTCTCATAATCCGGGGCTGCTGGCTCCTAACTATTCACCTGCCTGCCTGCCTGATTGCCCCTAACCACTCTGCCTGCCAGCCTGCTTGCTCCCAACTGCCCCCACCACTGGCCTGCTCACCCCCAACTGCCCCCTGCTGGTCTGCTCACCCTCTATCCCCCACTCCCCCATTGGTCTGATCACCCACAACTGTCCTCCACTCTTGGCCTCTAACCACCTCTACCTAGACCCCACAACCATGGCTTTGTCCATATATATATATATATATATATATATATATATATATATATATATATATATTCCTGGTGCATGGGTGGAGGCCAGTTGGTATGCCCTGAAGGGTGTCCCAGATCAGGGTGCGGGTTCCCTTGGGGAGTGGGGTGGCCTGGGGGCAAGGGGCCTGTGGTGGTTTGCATGCTAGCCACACCCCCATGGGGTGAGGGTTCCAGCTGGGGGGGCGTGGCCAGCCTGAGTGATGGGCTGAGGGCTATTTTTAGGATGGCCACATCCCCTTCAGGGTCAGGGTCCTTGCTGGGGTGCCTCGCCAGTCTTGGTGAGGGGCTGATGGCTTCCCTCCTTCCAGGCAGACAGGGAGTAT